TTACATTGTACCTGTTTGGGCTGCTGTCTCCCAGCTGAACCTCGGGATTTTGGGATTCCTCATGGAAGGTTATAGTTTCAAGTAAATTGCAGTCTTTCCCCAGAAATATGAAACAAGTTTATGCACCTAAAACTTCTGAGATTTTTGTATTCATACTGCATATAATCATATAACATCCAATTTGTCTCCCACAAAAATCTCTGCCTCACTGATACCATGCAGGGACAAAATGAAATTTGGGGTGGCATCTATGGGCCTACCATTTCCTAGCCTGACTGGTGACCTAAATAAAACTTTGCAGGATTAGGTTTTTCCAAGATGTAATTTATACTATGGCTGTCAGGAGTTAAGATAGTAGTTGCCATGGAGCTTTAATCTTTTTTTAGGCTTTAGTCAAAGGAAGCTGAAAAATCAGTATGCTTGGTAGAACCCTGCTCAACAGAATTTTATTCAAATTGGGACAAGATTTTATCCTAATTTCTCTGCTGTTATTCTCAAAGGTTCTAAATTTCATTTTATTTTCTTCTTTCTAGGCAGGAGATAAATGTTTCCTTTTAGGCTTCTTAAATCACACTACATTCAATCCAAAAAGCACCCAAGTTGCTTCCCCCCTCACTCCTCCAAGCAGTAACAGTAACTTTCTTCTAGCCTTAACGTGTGCAGCTAATCACTGTAGCAAAATTTCTTCATCAGTTTTTTCTCTTTCAGTGGAGACATTCACAAGGTATGCAGGAGCAAAGCTTTGGGGAGGACTTTGTTTTCCAATGCACCCACTAAGAGCTAATCTCCACACTGGAAAACAGGCCTTTGGAACAGAAGAAATGACAGTTTGAATTTGTGTGTGCTACTTATAACTCCATTGATGTCTATTTAAGCAAAAAAAGAGCATGCAGTGCATGAAGCACATCTCTGAGGAGTACAAAATTGTACAGTTAGTGTTGTACAGTCAATACTACAGTCAGTAATGCTCTGCTAGAACACAGCTGAAACAGAACAGAGACGCAGTTCAGTCTAATACTTGCTGTAAAAGCATTGCTGGCTGACTTAAAACTGAACTCGCCCTAATCCAGGTAAACCAAAAGAATGCAGACATCTGTGGAAAAAAATGCAGAATTTGTCCAAATAACCTTGTAGAACTCTTACCCTAACTCGACCAAAAATTAGAAAGGACTCAGATAAAATATTAGCTTGGTCTTAAGAGAGTTGGATTCCAAGGCAAATGATAGCTTCATTTAATCAAAACTTTCCCAGAATTTTCAATAAATACAACTGTGTACTGACCAGCTGTAGTGTAAATACATAATCCTTGAGCTGTTCCAAAGACTGCAGAGTAATCAGAAAATTAGCACAAGAGAGAACGTCAAATGCTTTTCAACTCTCCCATGGCATGTATTTAGAAGAGGCATGATAACACCAAAAAAATAAACATATGTTTCCTTCTAGGATATGTTAAGTCTGTGGGACTTGAAGAGTTGCATAGCAACATCTGGTTTTACCACTGACAACAAAATGTCTTAGATTACCCAACTCGCTCTGGACAGAAAAACAATTCTTGTGGGTTTGAGTGACAGCCCTGCTCATCAACTTCAGAGGCTCAGATGCAAAAACCTGCAGTATTTTTTTTCAGTCTGAGGTGTCAGTATCAAAGACTTGCAGCACTACTGGAGATGACACCTCTTAATCAAAGAAACATGTATGCAGATTAGAGGGAGAAAGAACTCTAAGCCCTTAACTTGCTGGTGTGGCAATCACTGCAATTTCATCCCAATAGAGCAGCTGGGGGTTAGGGGAGACCAAACAGGCTACTGTTTAGCCCAGCTGAGCTAAAGAATAAGAGCCCAGATTAGAACTTTTCAGAATCAGATCTGCTGCAGTCAGAAATAGCACATGCCATGGAAGTGCCAAACTGCTTATGTTAAGTATGAATTCACACAAACTCTAGCAGTTTCCTTCAAGCTGTGAGTTAGAGGCTTTCAAACGAAGAGTCTTCAAAGTTAAGAAATGCATCTTCTTTACATAGGCCCACCCCAGCTCTAAAAAGAATATCCAAAACAAAATCCTTAGAAAATTCAGGGAAGGAAGGGGTATTTCACTTACCACCATTCTGTACCAGTTTCAAGACTTGTCAGTACCACATTACCATTTCTGGGTGTGTAGATGAGTTAAAGGTTGGCAGGGAAATACAGTTAAAACTAGTTTAAATACAGAGGTATTATCATTGTGCTACAGACAGCAAAATGGCCTTAAATTATGGATGGCAAATACTAAATTGCCCATTTCGCTTTCAAAACAGTAATCTATTACATGCATTTGTGTTTTGCTTTAAGGCTTGGTTTGATTAAATCATTATTTTGTCAAGATTAATCAAGCTGGTCCATAGGACAATGAAGAAGAAACACTCTGCTGTGATACTGGTTCTTTTAAAGGGTTTAAGGGGACCTTCTGCTGCTGCTGAACTTGCATTACTTCAAAACTGAAAGGCAAAAACAGAAGAACTTAGAAGTGCACCATATTTTCATAAGCTTCAGGAAAAGAAGATGTAACCTGGGCTGAATTAGGATGCAGCATTAATTTTCAAAAGAAGAAGCAGTTTCCTGTGTAGTCACATACAATTCTATCAACTTCCAAAGTGCTGTGTGTTGCTCAGATTATTTTCTTTGCCAGCTAGAGTGACCTCATGACAATCAATACATATCTTGAAGATGAACTGGTTTAACAGGGTTTACTTTTTGTTTTCACTTCACTAGGAAGGTTCATCCATTTAAGGAAAGGAGCTCAACACTGAGAAGCAACATAAGAGTTTTGTACTTACCTTTGCAACTTATGTGCATCTTCAGCAATTACCACTGATCTATGAAAACTGATGCAAACCCACAAAATTTGGGTTTGGTTAAAACAAAAAAAGTGGTGAAATGCTAAATGCCAGATAACACCAGATCTTTTCTCATCTATATATATGTGACAACAAATCAGCCAGAGCTTTTAAAAGCAGATTTAGAAGCACCCATGTATATTTGAGGCATGCTACTAATCTGCTTATAAACTGAATTACTTCTGCATTTGAGCAATTTCTTGTATTAGGCAAGCAAGTGCTGTTTTCCCATCAATATCTTCACTGGAAACCTTGAGAATTCATATTCCCTACTAGAAGGGCCATCAGCATAAAAGAAAGCATCCCTGCATTAGAGATATTTATCTGGACCACTTTCAAAATCTAAAATTTCCTATCTGTAACACCCTAACATACACTTCCTACTTCAGCAATTATTTCAGACGAGCAATTATATAAAGCTCCCAGCATTCTCCTCTGTGCTGGAAATAAGTATTCTTGATTTATCCAGTACAAATTCAAGCAATACTTTGTTCTACAACTTCAGTGTTTGCATAAGTGATGTTTGTTTTTTCATGTTAGGTAGACATTAGATGTTGGTACAATCCCCAGCGCAAAGCATCCAACCAATCTTCCCAAGAAGGAAATTTAACAATCATTAAGCCATAACAAATAAAAAAAAAAGCCAAAAAGGAATAAAATGCACATAGGAAAACTTGTGCCACTTATCTCCAACAGTTGGCCTGACCATTCTCCATCAGCAGCCATGATCCAGCTCACTCAAGAAGACTATCTTTGCAACCTCACAGCAGACACTAGGCCTGAAAGCAAGGCAGGCATAAGGTTCAGCCTCTCTCCTAACCTGCTGATGGTCAGAGCCCTAAGAGTTTCCTGCAGGAGCTGTTTACTTACTGTGGTATGGGTCTCCCCTGTAGAGCACTGGTCCACTTACTAAATCCAGAATTTCAGAGCAAAAATTCAAAACACTGCCTTCACACTCCCCTGACATACGCTAACTACTATTACTTGCAAATGCTAAAGCCTGTTAAGGAATCAGATCATAACTGAGCAAACAGGCCCAGTATGTTATGTAGCTTGTAACACTGAGTGTCCTGCACATTGATCCATGCCCTCTGGCCTGACAGCACTCAGGCTTTCTGTATGCCAAGCACAGCACATCCAACCCTCCAGCCCCAGCCATCACAGCCCTCTAGTGGAGATGCATGAAGGACTTTTGATGGCATTCGTCCATCCCGGCTTGCTTTTGCTCATCTGCCTTCTGGCCTGCTCTCAACTCAGCACAACTGCTTTCCAATCAGGCTTGGCCAGAGATGGTGTCACCTCTCCCTCTGTGCTGTCAAGGGAAACCTTAGCAGCAAAGAGCAGAGAGCTATGAGCACTTCTGAGCACGTGCAGCCCACCCACAGAAAACCCAGCCCTGCAGAGCTGCTCTCTGCCTTGCCAAGCCCACCATGACTCCAGTCTCAAGGAAGAACATGTTGAGCAGGAACCTAAAGTGCAAGCTTTGGCACTCCGCTCATTTGTCCATTAGCATCTCCCATTGCAAAGGAGCAGGAACAGCTGTTTTCATCTTTTTTTTCCACCTGCTCTAAGGTATGGGGTGGAGTAAGCTAACTTTTAATTACCACCCAAGTAGTGTTTAGATACTACCAGCATACTTCAGGACAACACTTTCACACAGCCTGTCAGAAACCTGCTGGGATTTGTCTACTGGCTCTGTGCCAGGCATGCTTATGTTTTCTTTTTTTATCATCTACCAAAACTTTTACTGAAAGCTTTTGCCTTCAGGTTTTTTTAGATAGCTGCCCAAATCCAAGAACTGTGGTGCTATGCCTAAACCCAGGTGTGGCCACACACATACACAAGTACCACTTAAGGAAGAGCAAAGTTTACATCCCTGAGAATACCAGTCATGTTTCAGCTCTCTAGAGATTGATTATGATGAAGATTCTATCACATTTGCCCTTTCTGTTCCCTGAAACACTAACATCCCCTCCTCTCAAGGAATCCTTCTACCACTTCAAGGCTTATATAGGCAGTGACAAAACACAAACAATCAAGGAAATAGTTTTGGCAATAGAGAGATCATCTTAAACAAATTAAGGATGCTTAATTCTATCACACCCAAAAACTGACTCCCAAGTATAAGGTCACAAAGACAAGAGTTTAATATTGACAATGGAAAAAAAAAACGGTTATGTTAGTGGTATTTTCTTCCTTGAAATAACATACTGGTCACATGAAAGTCACTGAAGAGGTCTGCTTTTAGCTCGGAAGACTTTTACAGTTACAGCTGAATTCAAAAACCCTAACTCCAAACGTGTGATGCTAACACAAAAACTGAAAACGTAAAACCTGGGATAAAGAACAAACTTAGTTGTTAGGATGTTAGCAGTTACGTGAGGCCTTTCAACGCCTTTACCATAACATGAGAAGTTCTTCAGTATCTTTCCCACCACCATTATTTCAAGATTCTTTAAAATACTAATGGGGTTAAAGTGAAACCAAGCACCATATGCTTGTAATGTCTTCTGTGAAAGGTCTGAAGCCACCCTGTTTCAATCATTTGGTTATTCAGTGCAGAAAGTTAAAGATCACAGAAGGTATAACAGCTTCTAATACTCCACTAATATTATAGATTAAAAATTATTGCATAGTCTTCTGCATTTCCTAAACAGCATTCTCTGGAAATGAAATATTTTAATATAAAAGGAGCAACTCTTTAAAACATAAATTGCTTTCACTACCTCGATCTTCTATCCTTTTTTGATTTGTCAGTACATTTGTCCATTGTTTTCTCATTGTCTCCTCTGCACTTGGGGCAATACCATTTCCCCTTTGGTTTGTATGTGAGTCCAACACACGAAAAGTGGAACCACTCGATAGGGCACTGTTCATTATCACATCCTATCATTTCACCATAAGACACTTGGTTGCATAAGCAGTAAGTTGGTTCATTGGGATCAATTGCAAATTCTACAGGTGAAACCTCTCTCTCTGGTTTGGGCTTGGAGCGTTTTTTCTTCTTGGAAGATTTGGATCTCTTTTCTTTAGGTGGCTGATCATCGCAGTCATCGATACCATTCGCTATGTGGCACAGATCACGGCTTTCGCTGGTGCGCTGGCGACGAGGTCTACGGGAAGACCTCTCTGGCTGGCAGGACTCCAACTTGGCCTTTTCCAGAGGTTTTTCATTCTCAGACAGATCTTGAAAACACTGAGAGTGTGTTTCCATTTGACGAGCCCTATTCTCTACCAGTTCTAGCATCTGAGTAACTATTTGGATTTTTTCATCTCCAAGTTCTTGGCTGTTGATTAACGCACGCTGAAGGTGTTGCTGCAAGCGTTTCTTCTGAACAGGGTCGTTTTCTGACTTGTACTTTTCATACACATCATCTATTTCTCTTAACGCTTCTATAGAAGAAAGAATAACAGGATTAAGTACACAAGGTGGAACACGCTCAAGAAAATATAGAAACGTATTTCTAACTGATGAGAAAAAGCACAAATTTTAATTACGGCATATCCTAGTCAGTTACATTAGATACCCTATTCGAGTTGCATGTGGTCATCAAATGAGCGCTTAAGATCACCATCTGTTACAAGAAAAAATTCTCAAGTTCTAAGAAAAAGCAAGCTTATTATAGCCACTGGAAAAAGAGAGGATGACCCAAGAAAGGGGACCATAGTTGCTGAAGCATGGATAATCCAGTTTCTCCCTCCATCTGAAAAAGCAGGAATTTCTGTTAGGAGTCCTTACCACGGTAGTTCCAAAACCCTGGCCTACATACAAAAGCAATCCCTTATTTTAACACAGGAAGAAACCTTAAATTTATAGAATCATGATATAGCATGATATATAACACTCCAGAATTAGGATATCCAGGTCCTCTGCCTTCCTCTTATTCATCCAAAGGTTTGGGATTACACTTTCAAGCAGACATAGTTATAAAAGGAGTGTGACAGCAGAAGTTACATAATAGCAAATTTACAATCAGGATGAAAATCAACTTGCACCACTCAAAATGCTTTCCCCATTACCAAAACGAATTACAGCAAGTTGCATTTCAAATCAAGGCTGAACTTTTCAGAATAGGTGACCTTCTTTTTTGTGCATCACAGGATATTTTTAAGCAACTAGTAAGTGTGTGGCTCACAGTTTGACTTCCAAGCTTTCCTTCCTGCAAGTCATCCAAAATAACTGGATGAGTTGCTGTGAATCTTTCATTAAATTTAGTTCTCAGATGCAAGTTTAATGAACCCAAATACAAGATCAACAAATGCCTTATACATCAGTCTTAGTCTGTTCTCTGCTGTTACATATTGCTGGATTTTAAACTAATATTTTCCAAGCCAAAAGTTACACTAGATCTATACCTGAAGGACAGAAACTGCTAATGTGGAAGGAAATACATGAGAAGAACTGACATTGAAACTCTGTGCAGTGTTACAGTAGTGGTGGCCTCAAAACTTAAGGATTTTACTTGAACTGATAAGGGAACTTACAAATGATATTATTTACTTCTGAAGCAACAGAAATATGCAGTACAATCTATCTCTTCCTAAAGACCTGCATTTCACGAACTGGCTTTCATTATTATAGAACTTGTCTGCATTGTACAGTGTGAAATCATTCAGGCTTGTGCTAAATAGAAGCCACAGCTTTGTTCTGCTCCAGCCTTTCACAAGGAGAAGATAAAAATCACTGCTTGGCCTGTCCATTAACTCAATTAACCTGTATTTTCTCAGTATCAGCATTCCAGATACCATTAAAACCATAAGCTTTGTTTCCTTGTATCTGCCACTGCAACACTTGCCAGTTGCCCTGACAAGGGGAAAAATAAAACAAAAAGCATCTTACTCTCTGTTCCTGAAAAGCACGGAGTAAGGTACTCCACATGCTCCTGAATGAAAAAGGCATAACCAGAGTACAACCCAGACTTTTTTTTTGGGGGGGCCTGGGGGAAGTGTAGGTACAGTTACATAGATTTTCCATATTTGGAATGCCTACCCAGAAGAGCCGACAAACAGTAACAGCTTGCTTTTTCACACTGTGACAGAGAGCAACATCCACCTTCCATCGGTTATTCCCTGGATGCGGCCTTTAAACAGAGCCCTATCCAACTAAAGAGAGGAAAGAACTTTTGGATTGACAGAGATGGAAGTTTATCAAACTCCTTCTGAGTCCCTAAGATTAGAGGAGGCATCCACACACCCTAATAAACAACTCTGAAACTCCTGCTAAAAGCAAAAATCAAAAGCAAAAAAGCCCCAACACAAACCAGGGCTAAGTGTTCATTACAGATAATCTGATTAAGTTTGGTGGAGCTAATAAAAGCTAAAAGGATTTGTTTTCCAAGCACAGGAGTTACTTTGTCCCTCCTGCATAGACTATCACTACCTTTTAAGTTAGCTGAAATAACAGAGCATTTCTTTTAAATCATCAGACTTGGGCCCAAAATATTTTTATCCAGTTTTTAGGGGTTTGGAGATTTTTTGTTGGCTTTTTTAAATAGTTGAAGGCTTTAGTTAAATCTAGCGACAGACTTCTGCTACGGCACAGTATTGTATTAGTGGCTGGATGCATACATGTATAGCCTAAATAAATGACTGGATCTATTCGAGGCAGATGAAGAATTCTGGCTAGTCACCACGGATCGGGAGGTAAAGAGCCTGCTAGGCAGTCCAGCCTTGGCCAGGAATTCGCAATGCTGCAGGCAGGTCTGTGCCCTTTAAACTTCAAAACCCTAGAAAACTTACAAAACCCTGTTCTTATGCGTCTTCCTGGTTCGTTAGAAAGATCATGGAGAGACTCCCTTCACATCAGCTGCCTCCTGAGGTGGCCGTTTAACGGCTGAGAGTCCCTCCCGGTCCCCTCGGTCCCGTCCAGCCCACGCGGAGGGGAGATGCGGCTCCAGGGCCACCTCCAGGGGCCAAAGCGCCCGCGGCCGCCGCCGGGCAG